TCCTCATCAATTTTACACATGGTGTGCAAGTTTGAACCTCCTAACTTTTAAGGTCAGGTCACCAGGTCACTTTGAATGACCCAACCTCAAGTTACTTCTTTGCAACTTTGTCACCGTGCCAGAGCTACAGTAGATGACGGAGGCCTTTGAAAGTCGCAGGATGTTATTAGTTCATTAGTTGCTACAATTTGTGTTGATCTCGGAATTTTGATATCGGTGACCTAAGGTCAGGTCAATTTAGCGACCTCCCCATTATAAGTTAATGGGGGAAAATCAACTCCCTGTTTTTACCACTAAAACGGGTCGGAATGGCCCCATATAGGGGAAGTTGGGGGAACGCCGAATACTTTTTTTCTGACGCCCGTAGCACGCAAGGTAGACAACATAAGCTATTCTTGTTGGCGTCATTCGAGAGGCCAGTCTTTTGCCTTTCAAACATACCAGGCGTATTTGATGAATTCGCATACCGTTAAGCGCACAAACTAAAAATATCAAAGAAGTGACTTTTTCGGCGTTGCCCCGGACTGCGGGGAAAGCCGAAAATGGGAGAAATGATCTACGGGGAATGCCGACATTGATGTTTTGCCACTTTATCTCAAACTTTATCCAGAATTTATCAAAGCTGACACGCGTTTTAAGAGCTTGAGGACGCTTCATGCACACTGGAAGTTATAATTGTGTGATATAATAAGAAAATGCCAGGTAAATAATTCCTTATAGGTAACAGGCCGTTGTGTCGGTTGAAAGTGTAATTTGTGTGACTAAAAATTCGCGTTGCTATTCTACATCAGTAAAGTCCACGTAGCGTGCTTTAACGTGCGTAATTGCACGTTTTCGGCATTACCCCAGCCAGCCATACTTTCATTTGCAGGCCCATAACTTTTCAACGTGCCGCATAAATTTCAAATAGGCAGCACACTTATGCAAAGACATGCTGAAGATTACTTGACCGAATTGGCCAGACAAACGGTAGCATAATGAGTAAGAAATGCAGCTTCAAAGGCGCATGTAGTACAAGGAACGCGTACCTTGAAAACGCTCTTGGCGCCCTCACAGCCGAAGTATTCCGAATGACGACTCGTAACAAACATGCGATAATTGTAGTCACTTAAGCTTCAGAGCATCACTGACAGGTGGCATCCATGTCTTACGGTTTTCGAAATATCTCGAATTTCGGCTTTGCCCCAACTCCGGCATTGCCCCAACTTCCCATACTATACGTGACTTCATGTACGATCAACTTTCACTACCTTGAGGTCTGTTTTGCTGTTGGGCAGCTGTAAGGTCATGTGACGTCATCAAAGGTCACCAAAGGCTTTTTGCCAATAACTCCGTACAGGAACAAGATACAGCCGCGCGGATGGTCTCATTGTGTTCAGCTCGTCAAGACGCATCGAATGATATACATGATGACCTCGAGGTCACGTGACCTGAGGTCAACCTTTGACCTTGACCTTTCGAGGTCAACATATATATATATATATATATATATATATATATATATATATATATATATATATATATATATATATATATATATATATATATATATATATATAATATATAATATATATATATATATATATATATATATATATATATATATATATATATATATATATATATATATATATATATATATATATATATATATATATATATATATATATATATATATATATATATATATGTATATGGAAATGACCTCTATAAAAATTGTAGACCTTGACCGTGCGTATCCGATGCCGTTTACCGCTTGTCGCTATCTTGCTTCGTTCTCGAGATCTCAGGGGGGGGGGGCGGTCATCCGCCCCCCCGTCGGTACGAAGTTGGCGCAGACCCCCGTCGGTGAGCGGGTTAAGAGCAGAGATAAAGAAGAAAAAAAAAACAGCCGACCTGGTGCAATATATCAACAATTTTTTTGTGGTTATCTATTCAAGCTAGATTTTTTTGGAACCTGTTTTGCTTGTAAAGAAAAGGTATACCTTTTCTTACCTATAGGTAGTAGTAAATACCTACCTATACCTATAGGTAGTAAAGTACTACCTATAGGTAGTACTTTCAGCACAAGTTTCTGCTTACAAAGAGCTCAATGAAGTTCCTGAGTGTCCCTGTACTGCAATATGGAGGGCGGTCTGGAATCTGGATGGGCTCTCTGGCTTTACCATGGTTTTACATAGCTAAATCGTGTAAAGCTAGCAACAAAATTATCAGTACCTCGCACCCGTGTTTTTATCATTTTTATTCCTAGCTCTGGAGTTCATGGACCAAACCAAACTATTATTTGACGTATAATGTTTTATCAAGGCTGAGTCTGACTGGAATGGAGAGTCGTCGAATATCAGCGACTATTATCCTTACATTTTCACCCTCTTTCATGTGACTCGTGAGGAAAACATATGAAAATACGCTCCAGCATATAGCATATGTTTGCCTCTGGACATCGCATTCATGACTGAAATTATATCTTATGCGGCAGACCTCTTGGCATCCGCTGTCTGCTTTTAAACTTTTTCGACCAAAAATGGATGAACATGACCTGATTTTGACCTCTATAACTCATGAACTGAGATGACCTAGCACCCAATTTCATCAGGAGGTGCATGGCATTAATGACCGCAGAGGTGATGGAAATGGAAAACTAACAGTCGCGGTGTTTTGTTTTTAGTTAGGTATCTGTGAAAAATTCACAGAGGGACTTTCGCCCCCCTCCCTCAACAGGTCGCGGTTAACAAGATAAGGCATCTTTGATTAAAGGGACTATCCCACCTTTAACATGGGGTTTGAGTTGAGATAGCCAAGTTTGCGGCGAGGTTCAGAAACCACTATCTATCTAGGTTGCAACCCCCGCGGCCTCTTGGTGTTGAAGAAATTCGTTCCCTTCATTTGAAAATGGGCCTTGTACAAGGCCCTATCTTCAACATGGAGCGACCGTTAGTGTGACGTCACCTCGTTTAGTCATTCTGATTTAAATGGGTTTGTTCGTTGAAAAATCGCTTAAAACTTGGTCTGAACTTTGTTGTGGTGCCTACAGAGTAAAAAGAATCAGCTTTATGACAGTAATGTGGCCTGGGGAAGGAGGCAATTTTGGGCTGTGACGTCACATATTTGAAAGTTTGTGTTTGGAATATGGGAAGCCTAAGATGTTTAATGAAAAATAAATGCCAGAACCGTGTTCCTGGTCATCCAATCTATAAAGTCGGGCACAATTTAACTGGTTTTAACAACATTTAAGAAGGTGGGATAGTCCCTTTAACCGTTGTTTCATGTTTGTGATCTTAAATCACGCCTAGTTGATAGCAAAATGAACGGAGCTGCCCTCTCAGAGTAGCACCACACTCTGACTCATTATGCTCCATCGCGACTGTATACCCTAGGATGTTTTTGAACTTTTGAACTTTTTATTTCTCGAAACCGACAGTGTTCGACTTTGCTGAGGCATCCAGCATGATGTAAAGCACTTGAGCCATTGCCCTATATTTTTCGAGCATTTTGTTTGTTTTGTTCGGTCAGGCTCTTTCGGTCTAACAAGACCATTTCACAGCCTAAAGAATAATAGGATTTACGGGGTGACATTGGTCTAAGCGGGCACTCTGGTGATCCGTCGTGGCTGAGCCCATCGGCCATCACAAGGACATGCCGCCCAGCCCCCTGAAAGTTACCCCTGAAAGGTTGTGGGCCGGCTTCTATAGGGAGCTAATACCAAAGAATAAAGTTGCTCGTCCAGCCCGGAACGGAGAGTGGAGACATGGAGGAGAAGGATTTGACTATCCTGAGGATCGACGGAACGGATGTTTTTAGAACTAGGTCGTTCAATAAGTAAGGTAAAATCACTCGTATTTCAGTCAACCTTTGGTGCAATGACACAAAACTAGCCACATATGTTCATTGAAATTTCGTCTACAAAGTGGCTATAAGCATTTATTAGCAGGTCTCTTCGGCTAGCCTCCCCAGCCTTCGGAACTCGAACCTACATCCAACCACCGTTCAGGCGCACGCGTTTATCCCAGCACTCCACCCGGGGTTGAAATCCTACTCGGAAAACTCCTTATTGCTATTCCAAAGCCATGTCTTGATTATGTTCTTGATTGCCTGATCAGTTAAGATTTCAAAGGACACAGCAGGTCCAAACAGGTCGAAGTGGGACGGCGTCAGATCACGGCTGTACTTGAGCTTTCCTGTACAGCTAAAGCAAGCAAAGGCGATCCCACATTGATGCCTCGTTCAGCGTCTTTCTGTTGTTCAGTGAGCTCTTTCTGTATTTATCTCGTGAAGACTTTATGCATATCAAGCATATCTGATGATGCCTAGAACTGTTTCGACACAACACTTCACTCTGCAAATGAAAGCAGTCACGCAAATGCTTTGGGTCTCCCTCTCCATAATCAGCTCCCCGACTTTACAGATTGTGACAAATCCCGAGAGGCCTGCGGACACAAGTCTACTTGCTCTAGAGTCTAGAACTTTGTCTCTTACACTGCTGTGTTCTTGTTAAAATCGTCGTAGCAACTGTTCGCCAGCAAGCATTGCTAATGGCAATAGCTTCATCAGGGTCAGCTCTCACTCGTTTTGAGGTGAATTTTGGCTCGCCTGACCGGGGATTTCAAGAACGGAACTCTGCTGCATCAATATTTTCATGCCGACCGTGTTCGGACAGTGAGCCAAACTCATAAAAACAGTTTCAAAGGTTGTGTAGAAAATTTTTCAAAGATTCAGATGGTATATTTGATTTTGCTTGAATTCCTCATATAAATGAGCTATGGTACATTTTACCATACTTATTGAACGACCTAGCTATACCACATCCTGCATCCATGTATATTGTATATTGTGGATGGCTGACCCTCCACCAGTGGTGGCTGGGATTCAACTCAACCACCCTTTATAGTCATCACGTGCGGCTGATGCTCTGCTGTGTTCGCAGCCCTCAGCACCCCACAGCCCCACGCTGCCCTTCGCACACCACAGCCCCACACTGCCCCCCGCACCCGGTGACCCACCTGGTCATGGCTCCACAGGTAGAGTCCGTCGACCAGGAGCCGTGCACGTCACACGACAAGTGGAGGTGGTCTGACGGCGGGCGACACGGCGGACCCGCCTCTCTGCCTCTTGGTCCGCCCCCGCCCCCGCCCCCGGCCGCAGTCGGCCGCCCCCGCCCCCGCCCACAGCGGTACACCGCCCGCCGCCCGAAGCAGCCCTCAGCTGCCAGCCCCGCCGCCGGCGGCATTTATTGTTATAGGCTCAAAGATAACGAGAAGGGAAGGTGGTGTGCTGCAACTCTTCAGTGATTAGGCTTGCTTGAAAATGTGATTTCGATGATAACTTTATTTCGAACTTTATGTGATACAACTTTATGCGATAACGATGATGATAATTTCGAAAATGTGATTTGAAAATGTGGTTTCGAAAATGTTTATGTTACTTGTATGCCGCTGACGAAGTAACAAAAATACAGTCACGAAATTGTCCGGAAAAGCCGAGTACTAAAAAAAAAAAACAGATAGCCTGATGTCAAAGTGGATTTGCGCAGAATTTTAGAAGGATTTGTTCACATATTTATAAATATATCCCGCGCCAGGCCGGTTTTTCGCAGATATCTCAAAACGGCGGCGTGGAGCGCCGCCGTTTTTGGCACACCTGTTCGTGCATCTTTTCCGCACATGTTGTGAAAATTTCAGACCCAGGTCGCCTTAGGTCAGGTCACCAGGTCACGCCAAGTGATCTCACCTCAGAAAAAATAAGAATGCTCGCCATAGCTACACCGACTGATCGATTGCCTTGAAACTTTCAGCGATTGATTAGAGCAACATCATCTATAAAACGTATATCTCGGAATTTTGATATCGGTGACCTAAGTTCAGGTCAATTTTGCGGCCTCTCCATTATAAGTCAATGGGAGAAAATTGAAAAACGTCTGTTTTGCACGAACGCTATTCTAGACACTCTCAAGTCTCAAACATCGAGATGTAGGTAAAATTGACACACTGAACCGGAAAATGGCAACTGTGACCCCTCTTTATGTCCCCGAGGTCATCTCAGGTCACGAACAGAATCTAACAGTTTTTCGCTAATAACTACTGATAGAGGCGTGCTAGAGTGCTGAAAACGCCTAAGATGTGTTCGGCTCGACGTTGCGGATCGACTGATATGCAACATGACCTTTTCGGGTCAGGTCATGGCCTTGACCTGAGGTCAAATTTTCAAGTTGACCTTTCAAGGTCAAATTATAGTTCATTCGACGCGTCTCGACGAGAGAAACACGATGCTGGCAAAAGTTATGTCATGGCTCTTTTGAGTCAAAAGTTATTGCCGAAAAAGCACTTTTCGTAAAAACGGCTATTTTTGGAGTTTTTGCCCTCTGGAGGCTACACCGTTGACCTGAGGTCAAATCTGAGAACATTACTCAGAAAGGTCTGTAAAAGGTCTATCGAATGCGCTTTTCCGCGGCGCTGTAGCTCTATCGGTTCCCGAGATAGCCGTCGGCAGTTTCCAAAATGTTGAAATAGTCAACATTTTACCTTGGTGACCTCTGGTGACCTGACCTTTGACCGGACCCAAAAATGACCATTGTTTTCGTCCTTATTTTGGACGTTCTTTTGATTGCCACTTACTGCGTGTCGCTACGTGACCCAGGAACCGAGTTAGAAGGGGGTGGGGGTTTCAGACACCCCCCTCGCCCGGCGCGGAATCTCGGAGTCGGAGCACCGGCCCGGCGCGGGATATTTACATATTGGTGACCTCACCATATGGTTCAATTCATACTTATCTAGAATAGAACTTACAATCAGGATATGCATAAACATAACTGTATTTATTCAAAATATGCATGTTTTACCCAGGAATGAGCTGCCGGCTCAATGTTGCCAATTTTCTTCTTTTTGGTATCAGTTGAGCTATGTTTTCATGGATACCTATCGATATAGTATCCACTCAATCTATTGTTTACTGCGCATACCTATTTGGAGGAGAGTTCAATTCGCATAGAAAAACGTCCTTTTAGGACATAATACTTATTTGAAAGAAGATGTTCATGCAGATTGCAGATGTGCCGTGAGACACCAGAAAATCTATACATTTTTTTCTAGGAAAAAAACTTCACGATTTAAATAAGTAACGCATTGGTTAACCCGCGCCCCACTGGGGTCTGTGTATAACACGCCCTACTGGGGGGGGGGGCTATTCATAGCCCCCCCTCCTAACTCCGAAACTACTGGGCCGATCGTCAAAATTCAAACGGCGTCTGATAGCCCCGGAAAAACTGTCGAGCGAAACCTAATTTCATTGACCTCGAGGTCACCGATGACGTCACAGGTCAGGTCAAAGTAAAAATTATTAGCATTTTGGCTTGTTCACATTTTGGGCTCTGGCCGCCGTCTTACAAGTAAGATCAGGCTCATTTTTGGTACACACACTCTTAAACAGATGCTCTAGATACCCTGAGGGTACCAAACTTTTACTTTGATTTTCAGGTCAAGGTCAGGTCATCACAGGTCACGAAAATATTTTATCATGCGTCGGTCACGTGACACATGTTTTATGGTCCATTTAGGCCATAGATTTCGAATTTGATGTCGTCTGTGTCATTCGAGGTCATTTTGAGTCGAATTTAGCTTGGGTCACGTCACTTTCAGGTCAAAAAAGGTCAAATTTTGAAGTTCAATTTTTTTTTCAACAAAAAAGGTATCTATTGGATGCAGTTTGAGCTCAGGAACACGATGGTGCCATTTATATTGGTGTACGATGTCAAATACGTACTGAAAAATTGATTTGAAAAATTAATAATTGTGAATTTTTTGCAATAATGCGTATAACTTTGCCATTTTTGAAGATATTTAGCTAAAACTTGCTAGAGTTAGTCATGATCATGCGTTCTGTCACATATATTCTGGTTTTTACGAAAAGTCAAAAACTTTTTGAAAAAAATATAAAAATACAAATTTTGAATATTATTATATCACATTTTCGAAATTTTCAAATTTTTGAAAATTCGAGATAGCAGTTTGATAGCGCGGTCAATTCTGAGTCCTTTCATGCAAAGAAATTGGATCTAGCTTAAAAACTGAGCTCTTGGGAGCGATTGCTGTGGTTCAATGTTTTGGGTCGAAATCGGCCGAACATGACGTCACTCTGACGTCATTTCCGGCCGACCTATGGTAGCTACGAAGTTCAAATTTTGACACAAGGTGTCAAATTGATGCAGCCGAAGGTACTGTAAGTTTGGCGTCGATCCGTCAAGCGGTTTGGAAGTTATTGCAGAAAAACGGGAGGGGGGCTATAAATAGCCCCCCCCCCGTGGGGCGCGGGTTAACACAGATGCCGTTAAATAAACAAGTCACTGTCAGAAGTAAAGTTAGGTATCGTCTTGACATGTTACTATCGCATGACCAGTAGAGTCAATCAGGGAATTTATCTCTAAGCAAAGCTAGTTGGCAATTGGGTCATCAGAAACCTGTACGGAAATGCCTTTTATGGGGACATTTCACCAAATCTCCCCACTGAATAACCACCGCGCCTATGACCGACGGTGACCTGTCACCTCCCTGTCCTCCCTGGGGCAAAACGGCTGTGCCCGTGACCCATTGTGACCTGTGATCTGTCACCCTCGCTCCCCTCCCCCGACCGTGCCCGTGACCCAGTGTGACCTGTGATCTGTCACCTCGCTGCCAGTCACCACCCGTCTATTTCACACGGTGTGTCTGTTGACCTATCCGGCGGCGAAACTGTGAGAGTCTGGTGTCAGCCGAGCGAATCAGACCGGCCCACCGCCGACCCGCAGTCGCCTCGTCACCGGACCACCAGCCCAGTGACCTGACCAGTGACCACAGCACTGGTCCAGTCGACCACTGACCTGAGGACCCGACACTGACGGTGTGAACCGACCTCGGTATACATAGGGTACTCGACTGGAGGTCTCCACATGAGCGATTATGTTATAAATGCAGGTTAGTAATGATGTGGAAATAGTTGTAGCGTTACACTTCATCCAAAACCTCTCCATCCGCCCCCTCCCCTCCCCCATACGTTCGCGGCTGGCAAAACACCAATACGGGTGGGGGTTAAAGCCTACCTACATCCGTTAAGTGGAGCTGGGTTTTAACCCAACACCCTTCAGTCTTACACGAATGAGTTTGAGCATGACCGATGACTGAAAATGCCCTCCCCAATGCAACTGAAAGAGGTCAGCCCCAAAACGCACTGTCTGAAAACTCATGCGTCTCAGCCAGATAGTCAGCGCCAAAAGTACGACGTGGCCACCGTCGCTGCCCTGTGGTAGGTGTCGCGTCAGTTGCCCGGGTCGCTCGCAGGCCTCTGCTCGGCGGTGTGTATTACGGGCCAGCGCCTGAACAGTGAACAGCCAGCGAGCGTGGGACTGTGATGTGGTCGTCTATTGTTAAGAGTTGATGGTCAAAAAGCCTATTCTGCATGGGTTCAATATAACTTGAGAGAGAGAGAGAGAGAGAGAGAGAGAGAGAGAGAGAGAGAGAGAGAGAGACAGAGAGAGAGAGAGAGAGAGAGAGAGAGAGAGAGAGAGAGAGAGACAGAGACAGAGACAGAGACAGAGACAGAGAGAGAGAAGAGAGAGAGAGAGAGAGAGAGAGAGTGAGAGAGAGAGAGAGAGAGAGAGAGAGAGAGAGAGAGAGAGAGAGAGAGAGAGAGAGAGAGAGAGAGAGAGAGAGAGAGAGAGAGAGAGAGAGACAGAGACAGAGACAGAGAGACAGAGAGAAAGTGAGCGAGAGAGAGAGAGAGAGAGAGAGAGAGAGAGAGAGAGAGAGAGAGAGAGAGAGAGAGAGAGAGAGAGAGAGAGAGAGAGAGAGAGAGAGAGAGAGAGAGAGAGAGAGAGAGAGAGAGAGAGAGAGAGAGAGAGAGAGAGAGAGAGAGAGAGAGAGAGAGAGAGAGAGAGAGAGAGAGAGAGAGGCATACAACATTCTTCAATAACTCTCTAAGCTCCTTCCTGAGCCGCCAACGGGTCCTCCGATTTGCTCGTGAGTCGTGTAAACTCTCATTCGTTCTCATTTGCAGTGGCATACTGTCATCAACGCCCATAGGTAAAACTTGTTAAATACCTTCA